TTTAAAAAAGTAACACTTTTGTAAATATTTAAAAAATGTGGCATTTAGCATTTTTTTTTTTTAATTTCTCAAAAATTATTGGTTTGCGTTTTTCCTTTTAAAATACATCAGAATCACCGCCCAAAGTACCAGAATTAACCGTTCAGCAACGGACACCTGGAATATAAGACAAATTATAAACGAGGGTAGAGGTGGTATTTCACAATTCATCCATGGCTATTGTCGGTATTTACATTCTCCTATATTCCCATTTCAATAATTCATTCTACTATTTTAATTTTTTACCTTCAAGGCTTCGAATAGTGAATACACACAAATATCTCAGCTTGTATTGACTGCTCGATTGATATACGATGGGTTACTTAACCCCCTATAAGCTACGATGGGTTACTTAACCCCCTATAAGCCAACACAATCAAAACCTTATAGTTATTTACAAAACCGATTCAATATTTCGGATATTTCACGTAAAATTATAAATATGTATCTCTTTATTTCGATAATTTTTTGTTGACAAAAGTTAGCATTTAAACATATAAAACTCTAAACGATCGTTTTCGTTATCCATATTAAATTTAGATCGATCATGATTATTCATCATAGTGTATTGTGTTCCAATCGTAGCGGGGAAATCTTTCCTATCATGAGATCTTATTAGTCGTGTGGTTTGCCTCATAAACACCATAATTGTCTTTTTTCGCTTTGAACATATTTCAATAGTTGCTTTGTTTTTATTTTTTCTAATTTTTTTGTAATATACTCCCTCATCATTTTAAATGATTTTTAAGGATGTTATGCATAGATTAAAAAAAAATTAATTTTTTTAGTTTTTATAAATTAAAACATCATTTATCATTTAATTAAATACAATTCAACCAATAGTAAATCAAAATGCAAAATATAAATAGTCAAAATAAATAAAAATACATTTAATTTTATCTTAAAAACTCAAAAATCATATAATTTGATACAAAAATAAATATCTAGAAAATCATCTAATACAGAAAGAGTATATGATAATAACTTTTTGATTGATGAATATTAATTTTACGGTCATTTAAGAAATAAAAAAAGCATGATTATTCATCCACTTTAACATAACTTTGTTAACATCTATGAATTTTGTATACGTACTCTTTAATCATGCATATATTTATAAACAAATTGAATGAAAAGATAAAATAAAACGTAAAGCTAATTAATTGAAAAGGAAATTTTGTAAGATGGACCGTCATCGTACGGACATATCACGTGCAAGAGTGCGTGCTCTGTGCGCATGTGGATCCCATGTAAAACCATTAGATGAGCTGTAACATCGACACGTGTCATTTTATGCATTTGTCCTTGTGCATTCATTGGAATAAAAAGTGTTTTAAGTTCAAACAAATACGTGAGTTCTGACGTTAATTAGGTATCCTATTGATCAATTTGTCCTTGTGCATTCATTGGAATAGGTAAGAAAAGTAATTTGTACTAATTGTCTTCTTCGCACGTTGATAAATTTGTACTAATTGTCCTTAATTTGTTTTTCTTCATTTTCATATTAACTTGTAAGTGATGTTTACACATACGTGCATTCAATGAATACAATGGAAACTTTTTTGGCGTAACTTGTGTTTGTGATTTTTTTTTTTTTTGTCAACCCAATCAGGGAGAGATTTGGTTTTTAAAATATATACCATAACTTAAAAAAAAAAATCCAAATATATATATTACAATTTTATGCGTAAGAAAAGACCCGAAAATCATATAACAACATTCTCAGAGATTTAGAAATCCTTCATAAACTACAAATTTATCGTTATAATATTAATATTCTGATCAAAGTCTTAGAACAAAACAGAAAAAGTGATAACTTGAATAATTCAGTTTGTTCATTATTTATAAATGGGTTGGTCTACTTTGTTTTTTCTTTTTCAACAGTGGAAATAATACATAAAACAATTACTAACAACCTCAAAACTATTGTAACATAGAAATCGACAGTTTATTTCAGCCGACGTGAAAAGAATATAATACTGAAGAAGCGAAGATATTTAGATAGATGCCTAGACAACAAGGTTTCGTAAATAAATAAATAAAACCCCAAAATGAATTGAAGAAAGGACTAAAAATGCGACAAATATGGGGTAAACAAAAGTCATCCCACTATAAATGTCTATAAACCGAATGGCTACCACTTACCAAAAACAAAAAAAATCGTTACCTCAATAATTTTCATTCCAACAAAAAAAGTCCGGTTACGTTGTTGTTGCTTTTTTACTAAGAGCATACACAATTGTGATACAACATGGGTATCATTAAATATAAAATTATTAAAACACACACTCAATTTTATACCTTTTCTTTCATCGTTTTACTCAACTTTTATTAATTTTATACTCTCTTTAAATATAAAATTATTAAAAACACACTTTTTCTCTCTTCAAAAGTATCAAAGTATCAACTATTTGATACTCTCTCTCCAAAAATATCCACTATCTCTTTTTTTTTACTCAAATTTTATTAATTTTATATTTCAATACACCCCATTATTTCAATCAAAAACACTCTCTTTCTTCTTTTTACTCAAATTTTAATAATTTTATATTTAATGATACCCACATTGTATCACCACTACTTATGCTCTAAGGCATTTCACATCTCATTCATAAAAATAAAAATGAATGTAAATGTCATAGAATCAGATAATAAGCTAATATATATGTAAGTTCATTTAATTAATTGTAATGTTTATGAGCTAAAATAAAGTTATCAGTAAAACTAGTTAGATAGATCTTAACAAATTCAAGTATTGCTAGGTTAACCTAGTTCTCAAATTTTGGGATTGAATTAATGTATAGTATGTACTTAATTAGAAGCTAAATTTTTTAGTCTTTGACCAAGTAATTCATTTTTTAAACGTGAATTAAGTTATATACACGTTGTAAATACATCGTTTTAAAAATTAGAGATTATTTATTTAGTTTTGCTTTGAAGCTCATAAATGATAAAACTCATAAAACTCGATCCAAGTAAAGAGATTCAATACTGCAAAGTTTGGTAAGTGGTGAGTGGTGTGAAGTCTCTTTTTACCAAACGCAAAAGGAATCCAAGTTGCTTAGTGAAACATTTACACAGGGAAACTAAAGTAGCACAAAAGAAAGATAACCGAAGGCAAAACAGGTTTCTATATCAAAAGTGGAATCAAAATGTAAGTATAGTATTGTTATTTGTGTTACAAAAATAAAACTTGCTAGAGAGAAGAAGGTAAGAAAAGGAAAGTTGTCTGAAAGATTCGGAATCTGCGTAACATAACATCTCAAGCACATGTCCCTTTTTCACTTCCTTAGCATTGATCTCTTTTTCCTTTGCTTTATCCTCTTTTCTTTGCGAGCATTGTGGAGTTGTTTTATATTCAGACCACTTTTTATCTTATGTACTACCTTGAATCTAAGCAATTAATTATGGTTTTGCTGGTAACATTTTATGACAATAGAACCATGAAACAAACAGAAAACCTATCATATAAAAATGATAGGATTCTCTTTCTATATATTTTCGTTATTCTAAGTTGACAACAACAAAAAAAACTCGCCAAACAGTGAATTGATTAGGTATATATCATCAATGGTGATTTTCATAATGATATGACTATGATAAGAACCAACATACCAATAAAAACTTGTAGCTCTTTATATATATATCTATTCTACAATGACATTAATCACAGTAACAAATCTATGTTTTTTCTGAATTTGAGCTCGAGCAGTATAAAAGAAAAAACTATACTCGTAAAAGTATCTACTATTTTATTACATTATTTGAATAGATCATGGCCACAAAACTCATAACTTTTTGGTCATACAAAGGAAAAAAACAACTCAATGAATGATGCAGTAAGCAGGTGCGTTGAAATCAATAACAGAAATTTTGCTTTTAGAATTAATTGTGAAAATCCGTCGATCGAACTTGAAAATGAAAAGCAGGAAGAAGTTTTGCCAAATAATTCCTAGGTGGGTTCTGGTGACTAGTCAATTTGCATGAATGGACACTTTTTATTAATGTTATAATCCTCTATATATTAATAGAAGAGACATTAGGTGAAAATCCTAGGTGTTATCTAAAAAAGATTTCAAAAAACTTTTAATAAAAGCTATTAAAACTTATTAATGACATTATTATATAAATAATTAGACTAAATT